ACTACACACATGTATTGCTCTAAGATAAAAAGACGGAAAATAAAAAATCAGAAAAAACACTGAAAACAGTATATATATATATAAATGTAACGGTTCTCTCTTATCTCCTCAGCCCCACTTCTCACTTTGTCTACCATCCTCTCTATTTTTCTCACCTCTTTCCACTGTACACTCAATACCATTCTCCTCTCTGTCACCAGCCAAAGTGTGTCTCTCACCTCTCATTTTCTCTCAAACACCTCCTCTCACCCTCCACCCTCCACTAGGTTTTCACTGGTAAAGAACTTCATCAAATTTCGTGAAACTCTGACTGCAAATGGTAAACATCAGGCGACCCTAAAGGAGAAGAAGGAAAAGATATAGGTTTTTTTCTTAGGCTTTTTATGATGCTGTTTCAAGGTTGTACTTTTGTTTTATGATGCTCTTTTTGCTTTTTTAACCCACTTTTTGTGTAACCTTTATCTTACGATACATTTTTGTCCTCATATCATGAATAAACAAACAAAAAAAAAAAATATCAAAGAGACAAAATGTACCAAAATACGATATTAAGGTGTTTATACTAGTTTCCCTGTTGACAATGAAATGCAAAACATAATACAAACACGACATAAAATATTACGCAAGAGCTTATGATGCAGTGTGTTGTGTTATTATTATCATTATTTTATTCATTCATATCAATCTTTAATCACCACTCAATTAATACGAGACTAAAATAAATACATAAAAAATTTCATTCAATTTATTTATCGGGATGATAACACTTTGTAATGTTCATTAGTCCTAACAACAACAACAGTCACACATCCGTCCGCTACTGCACAACCAAAAACACCAAGGGATGGAGTACTGCATTACAAAATATTAACCTGGCTTCTCCCCTGCAACCCCTCACCTGTATTAAGGTAACTACGACACCTGCAGAAGAGGGACAAGGTCAGTCTGTAAAGGTAAGGGAATACAATACATAAAGGAGAGGGACAGAACAATGTATGGAGCAACATAACAGCCTGTGGACAGAGAGGAAGGACAGCAGAGAGAGAGAGGAGAGGGAGAGAGAGGAGAGGGACAGAGGGGAGAGAGAGGAAGGGGAGAGAGACAGAACAGGGAGAGAGAGAGGAAGAGGAGAGAGAGGGGAGAGAGAGGAGGAGAGAGAGGAGGAAGGCACAATCTGGACTGGCAAACCCATAGCTTTACCATTTCCTAAGGCCACCAATGAAACAATAAATTAATAAAATATTTTAACGTATTAATTTCCACGTCAAAATTTTTCCGTTGCAAATTATTCAAGTTTACGTCGACTCATTATACTTCTAAGCATTTTAAAGAACGATGAAAAAAAATAAATAATAGACATAGAGTTCAAATTCCCATCTGTTATTTGATAAACCTAGAAGGTAATTGGTCGTCTAGCTCGGAGTTCAGATAATTTCTGCCCACTGCAAATCAATTTCGAGCAGTTTCAGACCTTGACCTCACGTGTCATAATGGACGGAGGGATTTAGATTACTTTCCAGAAAGTGTACCAGGATTCGAACCTGCGCCAAAGGTCACTCACCAGTCGATACCCGTCCGGCCAAACTGTATTGATGGTCGTCAGCCTGCCTGACAGACTCGATGTAGGCTTGTGACTGTAAGGGCGAGACTGTGTGATATGGAAACTGGGAACAGGTGTCTAACTGTTTGATTACTACGACTATTAACTGATACCTGACTAATTACTAAACTGTTAACTGCTACCTGAATAATTACTAGAATGTTAACTGAACTTGACTAATTACTAAACCGTTAACTGATACCTGAGTGTTTGATTACTAGACTGTTAAAATTACCTCACTAATTACTAGACTGTTAACAGATATATTACTGTTAAATAAAATCTTGTATCTCGGGTCGATAGTCCTTATCACCTGTTCAACTAAAGAAACCCAATGATTGGTTGATCCCTCCTGGCCAATATAAGCGACCTGAAATCCCATAAACAAACCTCTTTACCCAATCACAGCACACACACTCACCCCCCACTCTGTGAAGGACCAATCACAGAGCTAAAAATCTGACCTTCTGACTTTGACCTTGTCCAATATTGATCACTATCGGTTATGTCACCTTCTGAACCATCTACTGTACAGCATCACCCTCACCATCTTCTTACCAGCTGGCTCTCGTGTCCCATAGTCTGTCTGTCTGTCTGTCTGTCTGTTTCATTTTTTCCGAGGAACTGGGATTAGGATTTCTCTCTCAAATAACAACAGCAAGAACCGAGTCAAATTCAGAAGGTCAGCCGGCGCCAGGATGTTCCCCGGTCTACCGGTGCTCATTACTGTCCCCCAAGTGTAATTACACCTGTCGTGACTCCTTTCCCAACCATGGCATTAACTACCACACCTGTTGGCTATATTTGCAAAAACCTAAGGCATAATTAGTAACTGGATAAAGTAACTGATATATTAACTGGATGTTAACTGGATATGTTAACTGGATGTTTTAACTGGATGTATTAACTGGATGTATTAACTGGATGTAGTGACTGATTATAGTAACTGGATATATATTAACCGGCTAATCTAATAATCCATATACGATATAAGTAACTCTCAAATATAATCTAAGAAATCTTCCGGTCATAATTATATCAACTTTTCCAACGGACAATACTTCCACTTACCCATTGGACATAAATTGGACCTAACCACAACAACCTCAGGTTATATAACTAACTGAAGACCCTAACCCACCTATCCTCCCTGGACAAAACTATGCTCCTTGGACATAACAAAGAGGGAGGGGAGGGAAGGAACGGTGAGAAGAGAGCGGGAGAGAAGAGGAGGAGGAGGAGGAGGGGAGGGGAGGAGGAAGAGGGGAAGGAGGGGACGGGAGGGGATACATTAAGACGCCGTGAGTTACCATGGTACATTACCCGCTATAAGCTATTGTGAGCGGCTCGAATTTACGATACTGCTCTTGAGTCGACCAATAACGTATCCTATTGACGTGGGGAGAGGGGGTGAAGGGGGGAGGGATTGGGAGAGGGATGAGGGGAATGGGTGATAAGAGAGATGGAGGAGAGGATAGGTAGAGAGAAGGGGTAGACGAAGAAGGGGAAGGGTATGGAGAGAGAGAGAGAGAGAGAGAGAGAGAGAGAGAGAGAGAGAGAGAGAGAGAGAGAGAGAGAGAGAGAGAGAGAGAGAGAGAGAGAGAGAGAGAGAGAGAGAGAGAGAGAGAGAGAGAGAGAGAGAGCACTGGACATCTGACATAGTGGTGACAACACACACACACACACACACACACACACACACACACACACACACAAATCATACAAATCAACAGAAACCTTAACTTCTCTTTAACCACCTGACAACCCTGCCAACCACCCTACAACCATCTGCCAATCACACTATTCTAAAACCTGAAAGAGGGGCTTTGAACCACCAATTAGAGCTGGCATTATTGGTTGTTTAACTGTGTTTGTGACTTGGTCTATGATTAAAGATTCAAGCCTCGATACAGACACAGTTGGAGAGGAGGTGAAGTACCAGGCTCACCAAGGTCCTAAGTGCCAGTATTCATCAAGGGTTAATATCCATGTGTGGGGTAATGTGCTGGTCGACCGTCTGGAGGGGAAGTGGTTAGCACTGTCTTGCCTGAGGTATCTGCTGGGTGGAGTAATTGCCATCGGGAGAACCACTGATGAGATTGAGGCGATCGAGGCCATCACGTTGACTTGTGGTGGTGTGTGGGGAGAGTTGGTGGTGGTAGAGTGGAGAGTTGGTGGTGGTAGAGTGGTGGCGGGGTTGGTGGTGTCTGGTGGTGGAGTGTGGAAGGTTGGTGGTGTCTGTGGTGGTGGTAGTGAGGAGCATGGTGGAGAGCGGCGCTAGAGGTGCGTGGTGGGATACAGTAAAGGCGAGACACCAAAGAGAAAGGAAGAACATACAAAAAGAAAGAGAGAGAGAGAGAGAGAGAGGACGACAAGGAAGAAGAACATTAATAAATTCGTAAGAGGGAAGACTGCAGGCACCATGATAAAGACAGGGACATAAATACAGAAACAAAGGAACAGCGACAGAAGCCGGGGAGAAAGAACAAACAAAGAGACACACACACACACACACACACACACACACACACACACACACACACACACACACACACACACACACACACACACACACACACACCCCAACACACACACACATACACACACACACACACACAAAAACACAGACATCCACACAAAGCCACAGACAGACAAAGACTCAAGGCTGGAACACGCCGACCTGCTCCTCTCTTCACCTCTACTCCTTCTTTCTTCTTGCCCCCTCCTCCTCTCTCCCCACCATCACCACTAGACAAACCTCGTCACTTTTCCTAGCCTCCCTTTCTCTCCCTCTCCTACCTTCTAAGACCCACCCCCCCCTTCATGTCCCAAAGACCTCCTCATCTTCAACCCCCTCCTCACCTTTACTAGCGACCTCCTTTCCCTACTCCCTCTACTTACCCTCACGCCTTCATCCCTTCTGCCTCCTCTCCTCCTCCTCCTCCCTCCTCCTCCAATCTCTGTCATCATGATCCTCCTCCATCTCTTCCTCCTACCTCCCATTTATCCTCACGCACCTCCCTTACCGTCAGGAGTAGTTTGAGTCAAGGCCTCTCTCCACACACACCCCTCGTGAGCCAACCACCGTAAGGTCAACACTCCAACATCTCCGACAACCGCAATTATGAGCACCACCACTATTTGTCCTCGCAGTTGTGATGCCCTCGATGATGGCCAGGGAGGAGGGAGAGGTGAGGGAGAGAAGTAGGTAAAGGAC